ACTTTACCGAAAGAACCAAAGAAGATGAATCCTTGCAGTCACGAAAGCTTTAAATCACGTTAATATTATTAATCCTTTATCGTTTTTGCGTGGATTAAATATCGGCCGTTCTATAGGATTCCGGAGGGGGGGTGCGTCAGGCGTACGTACGCAGGTGGGGGGAGGGGTAAAAAGTTCGCGTGCGGAGGGGCGGAGGGGCCAGGTTTTGACAGATTTTTGCGTACCTACTAAATGGATGGCCCCTAAGGCAGTTTTGTGCGTGGATAATGGAGCCACTTTTCTGTTTACCACGCTCTTGTTTTGTTTGGGAGGGGGGGCGGTCTGCAACTTTTAAGACTTCTGAATTTGTATTTCTGTTTGTATTCACGTGCATTTCTTGACACAAATTCTTGAGATGATGTTTCCATTTCGATGCTATATAAACTAAAAGCAAACTCTGTTTACGTTCTTCTTTTTGCTCGTTTATCCAAAGTATATTCCAATTAAATCGTGGACACAATGCCATGAAATGGAGGATTTACCATTTTGAACTCTGCAGCGAGCGGAGCATCACGCTGTGTTTTAACGTCGCCTTGGAGAGTGGCCTCATAGAAGCACATCGCAAGCGACTTCAACAAACCTCTTATATCCACGGTAGAGGGCGCATACCTTTGCATACAGTGAGGGGAAAAAGTATTTGATCCCCTGCTGATTTTGTACGTTTGCCCACTGACAAAGAAATGATCAGTCTATAATTTTAATGGTAGGTTTATTTGAACAGTGAGAGACAGAATAACAACAACAAAATCCAGAAAAACACATGTCAAAAATGTTATAAATTGATTTGCATTTTAATGAGGGAAATAAGTATTTGACCCTCTCTCAATCAGAAAGATGTCTGGCTCCCAGGTGTCTTTTATACAGGTAACGAGCTGAGATTAGGAGCACACTCTTAAAGGGAGTGCTCCTAATCTCAGCTTGTTACCTGTATAAAAGACACTGGTCCACAGAAGCAATCAATCAATCAGATTCCAAACTCTCCACCATGGCCAAGACCAAAGAGCTCTCCAAGGATGTCAGGGACAAGATTGTAGACCTACACAAGGCTGGAATGGGCTACAAGACCATTGCCAAGCAGCTTGGTGAGAAGGTGACAACAGTTGGTGCGATTATTCGCAAATGGAAGAAACACAAAAGAACTGTCAATCTCCCTCGGCCTGGGGCTCCATGCAAGATCTCACTGCGTGGAGTTGCAATGCTCATGAGAACGGTGAGGAATCAGCCCAGAACTACACGGGAGGATCTTGTCAATGATCTCAAGGCAGCTGGAACCATAGTCACCAAGAAAACAATTGGAAACACACTACGCTGTGAAGGACTGAAATCCTGCAGCGCCCGCAAGGTCCCCCTGCTCAAGAAAGCACATACACATGCCCGTCTGAAGTTTGCCAATGAACATCTGAATAATTCAGAGGACAACTGGGTGAAAGTGTTGTGATCAGATGAGACCAAAATGTAGCTCTTTGGCATTAACTCAACTCGCCGTGTTTGGAGGAGGAGGAATGCTGCCTATGACCCCAAGAACACCATCCCCACCGTCAAACATGGAGGTGGAAACATTATGCTTTGGGGGTGTTTTTCTGCTAAGGGGACAGGACAACTTCACCGCATCAAAGGGACGATGGACGGGGCCATGTACCGTCAAATCTTGGGTGAGAACCTCCTTCCCTCAGCCAGGGCATTGAAAATGGATCGTGGATGGGTATTCCAGCATTACAATGACCCAAAACACACGGCCAAGGCAACAAAGGAGTGGCTCAAGAAGAAGCACATTAAGGTCCTGGAGTGGCCTAGCCAGCCTCCAGACCTTAATCCCATATAAAATCTGTGGAGGGAGCTGAAGGTTCGAGTTTCCAAACGTCAGCCTCAAACCCTTAATGACTTGGAGAAGATCTGCAAAGAGGAGTGGGACAAAATCCCCCCTGAGATGTGTGCAAACCTGGTGGCCAACTACAAGAAACGTCTGACCTCTGTGATTGCCAACAAGGGTTTTGCCACCAAGTACTAAGTCATGTTTTGCAGAGGGGTCAAATACTTATTTCCCTCATTAAAATGCAAATCAATTTATAACATTTTTGACATGCGTTTTTCTGGATTGTTTTGTTGTTATTCTGTCTCTCACTGTTCAAATAAACCTACCATTAAAATTATAGACTGATCATTTCTTTGTCAGTGGGCAAACGTACAAAATCAGCAGGGGATCAAATACTTTTTTCCCTCACTGTACATCATGTAAATAGTGGCACGTATACATCCAACGGACAATTAAGTCTCAGATTTTAAATAATCCAATTTAAGTCAAATGTAGTCGTGCAGTCGTTTGGTGACGGGGCTGGTTTATTCGCGAGCAGCTGAAATCCAGAAACAAACCCAGGTCGCAGCAAATGCGGACTAAGTGTCTCTTGACCTACGAAGACACCCCACCAACTCTAATTATATTATTATTACTGTATAAGCTGTTTTAATAACGCAAGCTGGCACATAGGGGGAACTCCACGCTCCGATTGTGATGATAGATTGATAGACGTATGGGGGGGGAATACTTTTACACAGTGTGGTGCGCTGCTAGCTGAACTCGGCTGCTTTCTAATTGCAAGCCGTGTGCTCTCAAAATTGCACAACGTGGATACAATTCAACAATGACTACAGTTTGGCATTTTGGGTGATGTTGTGAGTCAGTAAAACAAAAATAAAGTTGCTCCAGAAGGCGTTTTCTTGGCGAGTAATTTATGTATTGCATTGCAGTCTTTCATCCCCGACCAAGTTTCATTCCTGGCCATGGTGTCATGGCATGTGACATCATCGCCATGGGAGAAAGGTTTGTTAATTTATCGAAAACTATCTCGGCAGAAACCCTGATGTATTTTCCTTGCTGTCGCCAGAGGAAGTACCAAGCAGCATAACAACTCTGCACCAACAATTCCTCCTTCATTCACATTAAACGAATTACATTAAACTTACTGGCAGTGGTACACAAACAATCATTACCAAAAACGTATCACGTTCGTCAGTAACACTGTGGCCTTAAAGGGAAATATGTAATAAGTAACGTTTCGGGAAATGGCCCTTCTTAACAGCACATGCAAATAATTACATAAGATAATCTTCATTTACATTGTAGATAATCTTTAACACGTTAACATTACCGTCTTAAAAACAATAACTTTATAGTCTCCCCTGCATCCCCCAAGACACATAGACCAGGGGTGGGGAACGTCCGGCCCGCGGGCCGTATAAGGCCCGCGAAATCATTTTGTCTCTGGCCCTGCCAAGGCAAGCGCAGGCGGGACTCGAAATTCAATAAATCTAGGAGCAAACCTGGAAAAGCAGTTGCGAGTAGCAACATCGTCGATGCCAGCTTAACATCATCACACGCCTCGCCAAAGAGAAGCAGTTCCAGCCATCACATTAGGGGTGAGTTAATTAAATTTTTGACCAAATATAACAGGCACATTTTTAAGTTGATAATTTTGTTTGGCCCGCGAATGATGTTATAAATATCCAAATGGCCCTTGGCAGATAAAAGGTTCCCCACCCCTGACATAGACGGACAGGCAGGAAGAGGCAAATGCAAGGGTTGGTTAATCACGCAGCGCTTTTTGCGAAACTCCCAACCCGTCCCCGGCGGTCGGCGAAGCGAGATGGGCCAGGCGATTTCCCCTTTCCCGTTCACACGAGAGGAGGGCATCAGCAAAGCTGTACTGCAACCGCGCCTCGCAACCGCGATGGGGACCCGCGGTAGACACAGCCCCCACCCACCAACACCACCCCAGGGACCTCTTAACTCATCTCGGTCATTCATGCACAGTTGGGACAAAGAGACAAAGATTCCCCCGTGTAGCCTGAACAGACGTTTGGGGAAAGTGCTGTTGGCGTGTATCAATGAAGGCCGGCACGGCATACGATGGGGTGGGTATCCAGCACCACGCCCGGCCGCCTTTGTCACCCTAGTGGCGATGTTTTACACACCGCACCAGCTACTAATTTGAGGCTGAGTCGACCTACGGGAGGCCCAGGACCGGTTCAGACAATCGTCACTGGTGTTGACCGTAAACGGGAATCGAACTCGTGTCGCCGGTTTGTAGCGCAGCGCGCTAACCGCTGCGTCACAGAGACGCTCACACAGACACGAAGACATCCAGAGACAAAGACAAAGATCCCCCGTACAGACTTAACAGACTGTTGGGGAAAGTGCTGTTGGCGAGTATCACCTTTGAAGGCCGGCGCGGTACACGAGGGCGTGGGTGGCCAAGTACCACGACCGCAGAGACACGCCGACACACACAGGCACGGAGACACACACACACAGACACGGAGACACACAAATAAACACAGACACACACAGAGACACGCTGACATGCATAGAGACACGCAGACACACATACAGAGACATGTGTACGTAATGTGTGTGTGTGCTCGCATCTCCGATTTAGCACGGTTGGCTACGTACGGTGCGAAAGAAGTTCAACATACGCACATACATACATGCAGTACCGTACGTAGCGCCGTGGAATAAAGAAAGGTTGAGAAGCATCGGTAACTATATCGCATTGCGAGAATAATAGCAATAACTTTATAGTAGTCCAAGAATAATAACAATTGCATAATTAGCCAAAATATCCAGATGTGGCCAGACACGCTTGCAAACGATTACTGAGATTCAATGAGGCTTTCCTGGACATATTTTAACAGCATCACAATATTCAGCATCTTCATCACGATCAAATACTTATTCGAACAGGAATTGGTCGCACAAAGTAAGGACCATGCTGACCATGTATTGAGACTTTTTTGGGATAAATAATAATCCAAATAATAATAAAAACTGTGAATATCTGTCGATCCACGGTTGTTTGAAAGCCTCCGCCACGCCGTGCCGGTCGTGGGTGTTGATTTTTTTTAAACCATACTTCACCACGCTGGTCAGTGAACGTGACAATTAAACCGACAAAGGGTTGTACCTTTATGAGCAGAACGGCCAGTAGGATCAGGTGCTTTACCGACCCCGGCCACGCCGATCCCATCTTCATCGTATCTGTGTGGCTTCTCATCTGTTCACCAACCCAAATTCAACACGAATCCAGAGTCATCTACTATCTCAGCTGATAACTGAAACTAGGAGAGAGATGTGGATATATAAAATTTCTGGGAACTGTTGTCCCGGTTGGCGAGGCTGTCAAACAGCGGTGTGTAGAGAGCAGTGGAGTGGAAAGCTCCACAAACAGTGGAGAGCTCTACTCGCGGCTGCAGCTCTTCCTTGTGCGAGACTTCCTTCTACTCGACCAATTGCAGCTTCCACCAGCGTAGAATTAGTGACTAATTAATGAACACGTAACGAGTCACCCATCCCTCCCACCTCCAACCCCAGCCCCACCGCCCCGGCTCAATTCTCTCGGTCGCGAATCGATTAAAGAGACCGATTATTTTTTTTCAAGTTCGTGGTGACTGTAGCGGCCTCTAGTGGCTGGGTACTCGCCACGTGAACGTATTGCGTGTACGACTGAGATAATGATGATTCGCCCCCCCCAACACCACTCGCGTTTCGATGAATGTTTCGTTTAGTTTTGATATTCATCGATAAATATATTGCAGATCCACCGTTACACCGGGTTAATTCATGATGGACAATTTGAGCTTAACTGCAAGCCGCACGCATTTACAGAGGTATTACAAACCCGCTCACGTTCATACAAAGCCTCAACAATAACAACAATCGCCGTTCGCCACTATAAGTGGCGGGGACGTCACCACGGTGCTTTGTGCCAGTCTAGGTGCACCTTGCGGTCGGGTGGGGTGGGGAATGTTCGCTGACAGGAGGTCACGGGACAGATCCAGGTGCCATGGGTTAACTGAGATGACTGAATATGCACCACCTCCTCGCTGTGCCAACTTGCTGCGTTTTAGCCACCCGGCGCTCCGCTCGTCTGTTGTGAGCGTCGTTCTTTTTGCCCTTCGTTGTTGCTGGAGGGCGACTGCCTCCAACAGCCCAGTGCGCGTCCTTCACGAGGCTCCTCCACAGAGGCCGATCTTGACACCGCTTGTACGAGTCACACACACACGCGCATACAAAGCCAATGTATAGCCTACAATCCCTACATAGACGTTTGAGGCAATTGCTATCAGCGAGTACTTATTAAGGCACGATGTGGGGTGGAGGAACACCACACCCGGCCACATTTGTCTCCCAAGTGTTTATGTTTACCACATACGCATGTTAAAGTCCGAGGGTCAGAATCGGAGGGTTAGAAGGATCGGTGCAGATATCCCTCGCCACTGACGCCGGCAGTGGTCTGGAATCTAAATAAATAAATTCGTTCTCTGGGGCTCGGACCACCACTGCTCCTCCAACAAAGACAAAGCTCTCCCGTATAGCCTTAACATACTGTTAGGGGGAGGGGGCAAGTGCTGTTAGCGAGCACACACGCACGCACAGGCAAAGACCCTAACATATGCAGACACACGGACACTTCCCTTTGAATACAATCTGTCAATGACGACAAAACCCCGTAATAGCGGAACAAAGGTTCAGGATGGAAAGTTTAACACAACACACAGACACGCGTAACAATCTTCCCCTTCTGCCCTTAAGTATGCATGTTGAACTTCTTTCGCACCGTACGTAGCCAGCCGTGTTAATTGGAGGCGCAAACGGACTCACTGTCGGATGTTAGTGCTGTCAGTGAGCACCTATTTAGCGCGACGATAAACTACCGCCAAGTCCTGCCCGCCGTTTTCTCATCATTGCTGATGTTGCTCACACGCCAAACACAGTTACGGTATTTGTCTTGTATTCGTCGAAGCCGACCTAGGGGGAGGCACAGGTCAAGTTAACACTTTTACTTTCCACGTTACCTGATTTATCGACCCTCGAGGAACGATGGGCTGAGTCGACTCGCGCCCCCCCCCCCCCCCAAATTGGGATTTGAACTTGCAGAGCAATTGTTGGTGACCGTGAACTATGCTGGAGCACGTAAGACAATGAAGAGTCCGTTGACTTTCTTCCAGATTTATGTATCTCAGTAACGTTTAAGCAAGGTAACTTTGGACCGGTTTCAATTTCGCTGTCTCATCAGCAAGCCGTGCCCTCCATAAACCAATGCCACTGGGCTATCGTCACGTTATGGGCACAAACAACCACAATTGTACACACACATGCCCTATTTTCACGGTGTTTATGGTACTGTGCGCTTTTACCCAGGTCTCTCGTGATGAGTAGACAATTAATTCTCGCATGGTGATAAATCATGTTCACAAATCAATAAATTAGTGAATGAAAAGATGGTTCGTCTCAGTGCGTTCTCACTTGGGTTATCGTAGATATGTGAATTAATGTGTGAACTCGATGGGCTCTCGCATGGTTATGAATAAAGTTCACGAATGGATGAGTTAAAGAGGCAAACTCAATGGGCTCTCGCCTGGCTCTAGCGAAAGTTAATGAATGAGTTAAAGAGCTGGTTAGCGGTGGCCAACTGGCGTCTCCAGAGCCGCATGCGGCTATTTAATCCACCACATGCGGCTCTAATGTAGAACGTAGTCACAGTAGCGAAGGATAATGAATGTCTTCCGCGCTGTCAAAAAACACTGTCTGTATATACACACATATATACACTTGGCTCGTTGCAGAACTCATGGGTACTTTTTGACCTTTGGTTGGCCCACCCCTGGCTAGGCTGATGCGTAGGGTCATGATTAGTGCACAAGCAGGATGTCAAGCTTGCGGTGAAGGAGGCTCACGAACTCGACTCTTTAAGAGTATCGGAGGCCCTTCAGCCAGCAGTGGCCTGAGTTAAGCAATTGGAGGGCCCCGCCTTTACAAACTCTACGTGCATACTTATACTGCCCTGCCAAAGGTATGCACTGCACAGACACCGATCCCATGGGAGGCCAACTGACGATCGTTGAGAGGGCAAGGCGATAACGAGTCCAGTAACATCACCGGCGATAAGAAGCCCGACACGCAGTGCCGGCTGCGCAGTCTTTAAGGAAAATTATTCACAATTTGTGAAGTGTGCGTGCAAGCCAAGAGAGAGCTGGGTGGCTCGGGACACTAATGCAGTGTCCGTGCCACTGAGCCGGCATCGCTGGGACCCTCGGTTACAATTCGGTTTTCAGCCACCAACGATTAAACGGCATTGTCAAAAAGTAGTGAGATGGATGGTTTTTCAGCCATGTCACCCATGAATGCACTTAAGCTGTATGTTGTTAACATTGGTTGTTACTTAATTCGGCTCATTTGGGCTATTGGGACTGAAAATCATCATGTCGATTGGCAGGGCACGTCGCTAGAAGGCATGAAGGTCGGTGGGCGAGATTAGCTACTGGGCGGCAGCCAAAGGAGGGAACGCACCCTAGAGGGCTTTCGATTAAGCGATGTAATCGGCGCATGTGCAGGGTGGATTGTTATACATCCTGGGACCATGATGGGGGATGGCGACAGCTTGGGGAGGACTATGTTTGCAGCAGTGGATCGATCATGGTTGGGGCACGATGTGGAATAGGCACGTGACAACGTGTGAGAATGAGCACCGTTCTGTGTGATGTCATCCTCCAGAGGCCGTTCTCTAACGCGCGCGCGGTGATGTAAGAACAATGTTCACTGCAATAATTAATTATCTCTTGACCACATTGGCCCCAACTGTATGGACAGAATATTGAGGAAAGAAAAATCTTTAAAATATTCAAGTCTGCACCCTCACACTACATTGTCATGAATGCTCATTTTAATTTGTTTTGTAAATCCACGGCTAGATGAAGGGAACAACCCCATGTTCGTGTCAGCCATGGAGGTTTAAAAAAAAACACTTCACCACACTACTCGGTGCGGGTTGTCGAGAGCAAGGGCCACGAACCGTGCAGGAAATATGTACAGTCACGAAGGTCCTTACAATTAATATTATTCGTGTTTTTTTATTGATACAAATGGATCCCTCATTAGTATATATTTTTTTCGACCTCAGCAAATGCATGCAGAAATATAATCTACACACGTCGGCCACAATTCACTGCTCCTGTCATTGATGCAATTGTGGATGAGAGCCCATTGAGATACTCCTTTATGCAACAGACATCGAACAAAGAAGTGACCAACGTCCAGTTATTAGGATTATTATTGTCGTTATTATTGAGTTTAGTTGTGGGTAAATTTTTAGCAATTCGAACTGGGCTGTGACATCAAGTAACACGCAATGGACAACTCTTGGAAGGCTCTTCAGTCGTAACGTTCGAGTTGCTTTGCGATGGTAAACAGCTACAGTCCGTGGTGTTTGTACATCCGGGTGTCTTCCTGTTTTCTGCTCAGGCATTATCAAAGCTGTAGCTGTTTAGCTAAAAAGTTGTTTACTCTTTCTTAAACATGCGTCTCCTTGTCCTCAAGCATTAACAAGGGAGCCATCAGAATCCTAATCGTGCATTACATTTGGCTGTACGAGATTCGTACATGAACAGTGGTTTTGGAAATGAACACCGAGAATTCCAAGTTGATGCCTTCGTCTGGCTCTTAAAGAGCATTTTGGAATTAACAACTCGCAACATACTGCAATTATGCCTTATTCTCGCTCTGAACCTCAAGATATTAACAATGAACCTTAACGTGACATCAGAAACGGGTGAGCTTCGTATATTATCAGATTCCTCAAATATAAATGAAGATTCTGAATTCTGTGCATTTAAGACCCTCTATGAGTCTCATCTGTTCACAACAAACCCAACGGATGCACAAGTCAACCTGGCCACTTCCATCGTCCGTGGTGTTTGTACATCCGGGTGTCTTCCTGTGTTCTGCTCAGGCATTATCAGTCCAATGTGCATGTTCCTTGCTTTCGCAACAACCCACACGGATATGTTTTTTAATGTTAAACTTTGAAAACCATAAAAGTGAACTGCCGATAAAATATTTGAGGAAGACCAGTTGTGAAGAAGGAACTTGTACTGTACTTTGTTGACTAATTCAGCAAAATAGTATACGAAACAAAAATGCATATTTCATGGAAGGGTTGATGACACCTTCTTCAAGTGCGTAGGCAGGAAGGCGGCAGTGTGCAGTCTCAAGCGTGTGCTACCTGAGCTCGAGCAAAAAAAAAACATATCCTACGTGTACCCTGAACAGACTCTTGGGGCAAGTGCTGTTAGCGAGCACCTATGAAGGGCGGTACAGAACACAAGGGGGTTGGCGGCAAGCACCACGCCCGGCCGCCTTTGTCTCCCTCGTGGCGATGATTACACACCCGCACCAGGCACTTATTTGAGGCTGAGTCGACCTAGGGAAGGCCATGGGCCGGTTCAGATAACCGTCAATGGTGGTGGCTGTGAGCGGGAATCGAACCCGGGTCGCTGGGTTCGTAGCGCAGTGCACTAAAC